AGATAGACATTATATATTAGACAGAGATAAGAATATAACCGTATGCCTACTATGTACATACTGGCTAGTGTCAAGAGCCAAGAAAAAAAAAAGTCTGTCGTCATTTGGCGAATTGCGAATTTCTCCCCACCACAGCTCCCTTGGCCCTATTCAATCTTCAAACTTCCGCATTTGACGTCCCCCAACTCCCCAGTCTTTGATCTTATTGTCTACACCATGTCAAGAAACATCTCCTATGGCCGCGGAGGCGCAGGTATCTGACAACCCTCCCTTCCCCGATCTCTCACAACGCGCCACACCAGTACATTAAACTAACCCACTATACCCCAGGTAACATAACCCGGCAACAACCCGCGCCCTCACCAAAAGACCTTGTCACACCAACAATCAAGCAAGAAGTCTACACGACAGGCCGCGGGGGCTCAGGAAACATGGTACACAACGACCCGGAGCGACCAGAAATTGCGCGCGAGAGCCAAGACGTCGAGTCACCGCCTCTGCGCGCCCAGCAGATCCCCCACCACACAGGCCGAGGTATGTTCTAGCCATGACAAGATATAGAGCGAATGCAACCTGGGATGTTTGCAAGGTTGTTAAAGCCACAGCTGCTAACGGATATGCTATTTCCACAGGCGGTGCAGCAAATGCTTATATCCCTACTCCTGAAGAGGAGGAGCGCGAGAAGAAGATCCAGGAGCAGGAGGCGGAGCTTATTCGCGTGCGCACGCAATCTAAGGATCGTGTTAAGGAGCTTGAACAGGAGAGGCAGGAGTTGCGGAGGGATTCGCACTCTTCCTCTTCTTAAGCTGGTTATGGTGATTTAGGGTGGGGTGGACGTGCTTGGGTTTACTATTGATTTATTCTTCGTTGAGAGGGCTCGATGATGGCTGACGTTCGGTCTGGAATTTGGCCGTGAAGAATATTTGCTTTTTCTTTGGCTGCAATGTCGATCCGGCAAGAGGTGATTGTCCGAGCAGAAACGAAAAATTACTGCGGGCAGTGCTATTTCGATGCGAGGAGCTTTTTTTTTTCCCCCATCGGGCTATCGGTCGGATCTATGGGTTTGTAGTATTTGCTTTTTTTCTTTCTTTTCTTCGCACGGTTTCTCCAATCGGCGTTCCCGGCTTCATATACTCGGGAATTGCTTCATACCTATCATGGAATACCGGGAAAGGAACGGCGCTTGGGATTATTTGGGCGGGGTTGTGTTTTTACCTCTATTGACATACTTCGATGTGTATTGCAACGATAATCTGTGTTTCCCGGAATTGTTTCCTAAACACCGAGAAATGATATACTTCCCATGACAAGCGATCCTTGTCTCAATTGAAAAAAACCATGCTATATACAATCAAATATCTAAGCTAATTACACGCTTCATTGTCTCATTAGATGCATCGCTCGCGCTCAATCAAGCTATTTAAAACGTTACCCCACAAGAAAATGCAAAAACTCGTCATCAAAAGCTAAGCGGGGATATCACTCGCACGCACGCCTCAGCCCTCGGAAGGAAACACCCCGTCGCATCAATCGGCCAGTTAATAAGATCATGCCACTCCGGTTCAAGAATATCCCCGATCTCCTGCAGAATCCTATTCCCCCAATCGCCCATCCACCACGAACCCCTAAGATGATGCAGAATAACCGAATAATGCGCTAGAACAACAAGCGCAAATGGCCGACGTGCCTCAAGCAGCTCTAAAAACTCCGCAGGGATACGGAGACTCCACCAAAACGCGAACACCTTCGGCTCGCCGCCCTTCATCAGCTGCTCGAGCGCGTGGCTGAGATGTTCAATGGCCGAGTCATACAGATCCGTCTGGTGGGTCGCATCCCGCATGGCCTCTATGTCGTTCTGTCGTTGTAGCGAGAGAACCACTAGTCGCGACATGTCCGGCATTGTTGGGAGCGGGTCTTCAGGGTGGAAGAGGGGATCCAGCTCGCCCGTGGTGATGTGTTCCATCGAGGTCAGCAGAATGCTGACTAGCCACCGGGTTAGCTGGAATACCTCGAAGAACTCGTCCAGCACGTCGGGCAGCTCTTCGTCTGAGTCATTTTCGCTGTCAAATTGGCAGAAGCCGAAGGTGAATACGATCATTATGCAGCACAGCGCGAAGGTCGCTTGGCTTTGTGACTCGGGTGCATCTTCATCGACCTCGGTGTGGATACCTGCTAGTGCTTGTGCTTGGTACGAGCGTGCTGTTTCAATATATCGCCAGCGCCGGGAAGATGTACTTGCTGAGGCGAGGTGTAGCGCTGAGAGGGCTAGGATACCTTGGCGAAGGGCTGGATAGCGGAGAGAAAGCTGGGGGATGGTTGTTTGCCATATTTGTTCGGAGGCGGGGTCCCCTGCCATGGATTTGTAGGTTGTTGTGCACCAGTGCATCATCAGTTCGAGGTCTTTTAGGTGGAGGGTTTCTTCGATGTGGGTTGAAAAGCATGCTGGTGGGTGTTCTTGTTGGGGTTGAGGATTTGACTGAGAGGGCGAGGTCTCTTTCATAGGAGTTGGAGATGATGGCGAAATGCTAGTTGAGGGAAGGAAAGACCCATGCTTGTTATCCAGCCGGGTCAATCGGGGCCGAGGCGGATACTGGCTGAGCATATTGAGATCCAGGCAATTCACACAGGTTGGGCTCTGTTCCTTATACTGTAAGGGTTGGGTTAGCGAGGACATGGGGAGAGGTCGCAGGAGTCAGAGAGGGAGATGAGCAATGGGAACTAGACCCTCCATATCAATTGAAAGCTCTGAAATGGGTCGGGTCCAAAAGCCCTAAGCAGGGGGTGTCATACTCTAACGCGCCGGTCACTTTGCATACTTGTCTGGCGTCGCTTATTCGACCAGGAGCATGTTGAGTCGCATGATTGCATTGTAGAGTGAATGTTTATTTGATTCGAGGGTCGAGGGTTGCAGTGAACTTGAATCATAGTCCTCCAGATATCACCCGAAGGAGAAAGGAGGATTTCCTGATATCATGAAAAAGTCATATCAGCGAAACGGTGGGGGGAATTAGGTGTTAAATTATTTTGATATGTCCATTTTGCCAAATCGGCATTCAAAGCACGCACCAAAGAGGTAAGAGTGGCGCTGTGTCCCAAATCGGTAAATGCAGGATGGCTCGTGCTTCATATGACCTAATCTACTGCCACGGCGGGGCCGTCGTATTCGCGATATGTATGTAACTGAGCCGTTCATGGCCAAACTTGGTTTCTGTGTCTATATCCATCCTAAGTCTAATATATTACTGAAGTACTCATTTCTTTGGATATTCAAGATTCAAACTTCCAATGGTCTCGTATTCCAAACCATATTCCAAGGCGGCAAAGCGGATGTGTTATGCGGGATGTTTTAGAAAACACTTACCCTACGCACTAATGCGAGAGATGTTCGGGATTCTGTCCTAGGAGGGTATAAGCACAAGCTAGAGTCACTAGCAACATTCCAGAAAAATAAATGAAAATGCACTTTAACTGTTTACCGCAACCCCCACCAGCCCCACCAGCCCCTAGAACAATCCACGCTAAATCCTCTTTGGGACTAGTAATACGGGGCCGGTCAAGCCTATCCGAATTAAGTTTCACTCGACGAGCGATGCTTTTCCCCGATCGGGGAAGACGCAAGCGCTTGAACCCCTGTTCCATGCACTTATGCATGCCCAGGTGGACATCTCGGGTGCATATCTTTATCCTAGCCCGTGATTTTTCTATGCCCTAAGCTCATCTCCGATTAGCACAGTTTCGCCTTAGCTCTCTAAGCCTGTCTTAGTACTTATTTGGGAAAGCTACTAGAATTGGGTATCGCATGGCATTCCCATCGTACTAAGTTTTTACCCTCTTGGATAATTACCCCCACAGCCGCGGGCTCGGCATGGTCCTTGCTTATATGGCGTAAGACTTAGAATTCCGAATGGAAATATCTTGGAAGCCTAGATTGTATTGATCCGTCAGCTCTGCACCCCTTTTACTTATTTCAGTCAATGGAGCCTTAAAATGTTAGAGCTGCTCAGATCCTGCCGAGACATAGCATATCAAAGAACTCGCCCCATTATCACACCCATTAAAGGTGATAAACACGCTACTCCCTAGGCCCCGGGTTGTTAGTTCGCACGCAATCTACCCCCAGGGCCCTGTCAGGCGATCCGCGCATCAGAATTTTCTTTGTCTGGATCTTGGAACCCTTTACATAGTGTTGACTGGGGTAGTCTGCTTTAGCGTCGTTTAGTAAATGGGTAAATGGCGTGATTGCTGATCATGCTGACCTCGGGGCTACCCACCCCGCTTGAGTCCGAGATGTAGGGCAACCCATCATTTTCTCACTTAGATCGGCTTTTGTAACTGTCCAACTTTGACGTAATGGCTCAGATTTGGTGGGTGCGAAATCCCTTGGATTCAGGCTAATCGTATGTGACGGGTGACTCTTTAGTTTATTTAAATAAACCCCCCGCCTTTCGCAAGGCTGACACCTTCACTTCGCCAATAAGCACATTCTCACTGTGCGGTGTGGCGTCAATGCTAGGATGTTGGGCAGCGCCATAGTCTAGATCTGACCGAAGATACGACGGGTGTAATGTCACATCACAGGTCATCTGGTACTAACGCCTTTAGGGAATTACAGGGATCAGCATGGGAACTAGCGAGATCAACCTGCAATAATATTGAGACAACGCCTTGCTATGTGGCTTCATGGACGGAAGAAGGTACCGTCCACCAAGCCACATTTACTGGTCGGCGACAAATTGAAGCTTTTTAATTTGGTAGGCGGCCAGGATTCAAGGTTGTTAATGCATTAATACCGTTAATCCACACTTAGGAGGGCAAGGATCTGAGGTGATCAGTTGGGCTGAGCGGCAGTAGTAGCTGCATCAGAACAAGGATCCAGTTGACTAGCTGCTTAGTTGGCGACTCCGACGGACAGTTCGATATCTCCACTCCAAGGGTTAACTGTCTGATCGCTTAGACCTGCTGTGATGTGTAGGACTGTAGTGGGACTGTTCGGGGTGACGCTAAGGCCGAACTCCGCAGGTAATCCGACCCCCGGTGATACGCGCCTTTAGGCGGATTTCCGGTGTCTGTTAGTCCGGTGGTTATCATTCGATTAATCAACAAGATGAAAAGGATCACCACATACTTTGTCTTTGGGTTGATAGCGGAGCGCAGGCTTTGCTCCCCAGTCCGGAAGTTTGAGAGGTATTGGTGCTGATGATACAGCATCACTTGATGCGTTTGATATGTCAGGCCAGGAAGGCGTAAAACATGGCGTTCGGTGCATCCTCCGCCTAATTTTGTGTTGAGTGCCATTGGTCTGTACATCGAAGTTGGCCTGGAGACTAAGAGATTGAAATTTGGTGGCGGTCTGGCCAGCGGACACATTTTGGACACCATTGGATTTCGTCAACACACGAATGATTTTTTCGACGGCATGTATAGCTGCGCCCTTCTTAATTGTATACACGCCGCGACTCCAAAGCTCTGCCGCTGAGAATGGTAATCCAGAGAGTGTGTTTCCTCGTATGCTGCACACCATCAAGATTGAGATAGCTATTGGTGTCACCTTGAATCTTGACTCGAGGAAGTACAAAATCATCGGGGGAAGACAGGTATAAGAGTGCCCTGAGCGGAGATAAACTGACATTTAAACTCTCCAAGACTCCCGAATAAGTTATCTTACCAGCATTGACCAAATCAAGAAGCGTACAGTTGCTGTTTATCAGAGTAGGAATGAAAGAAAAACATAGAACGTAGTGTAGCTCGACTATCTCATACTGTAGTGGTTGCCGGTATACTATTGGCCGTGTAACACAACTGGGTTGACACCTCCCTCAACTGCACGGTTGACCGAAAAGGGTACATCGGGAGGAAGCCGCACGACTTGACTCCAACATCACGACCTCTATCTTCGATGACGTGCCCCAGTCCAGATATCCTAGTCCGGAGAATTGACACCGACGATAGCATCATGTAGTCCAGATAATATATAGAACGGAAGAGGGTATTCCCAATGCAGATGCAAATAACAATGCAAATTCCTCACCAAGCCCAAGCATTACTATATAGTCCCTGCCAGAGCCACCGAGGCAAAATGAGTACCAAGCGTATTCCTATTACAGAGAGAATCTGCGTTCCACTTGGCTCAACTCAATATGAATCAGAAAGAGCGCCGATTTAAGCCCGTTAACAACATAAACATGCAATTCACCGAAGGAGTATGTCTGTATGCGCGCCGTAAGTGGCTAGACCTACCGCGGCTGTCACGGTTAGGTTTGTTTGGTTTGCAAAGAATAGCTATGAGCCAGAGTAGAGACGCTTTCTCGTAGAGATATTTGGCGTGCTGTTCTAGTTGGGATCGTTATCTCAGTTCCGCCATGAACCTGGCGGTCGTTCCTGGACCAAATTGTTAAGCGTAATGGATTCATTATGTGTGTCAGCGTAGTCATCCAAAAAGAAAAGAAAAGAAAAGAAAAAAGGCGAAGCCGTGTCCACTATCTTAGCCTAAGTAGCCCGATAGTAGCCCCGTCTAAGCTGCGCCTATGTACTCGATCGACTCTTCGTGCACAGGTCCGACCGCAAAGGTCACTATGACCTCTTTTGTTGTTCCGAGGTCATTCGCGAATTCAACCACCCCGGTCAAAGATGGCGTGTGAGGCAATCAGGCTGCCATTAGCGATGAAGCTCTGACACAGCAAGGTTGACGGGCCGGTACCAGTGGGGAGTGAGCCCTCAGTTGGGGGCGGGTGGCGTGGACGGCGCTGCCCCACAACGCTACATCAACGCCTTTAATCTGGCAAATGCTCGTACCTTTCGTGGAGTGGCTCCAGCTGACATCGACCGCTTGACCTTTCCCAACTACGATCGATATTGGAATAGATGTGAGCCAAGCTCAAGTCGTCCACAGCGACTGTCAGGGTGAGGTAGGAGAATGGCAACGATTGGTGTAGGTAATTTTGGGGTGTGAATGGAGAGAAGAAATCGAGCGCAAATGTGCCTGACCCAGCTTCGACGTGCCTCAGTGACGGTGCTGGAGTTGGTATCACTTTGGGGAACGTGCACGCCAAACAGATCACACGCGACACCATCGATGTGAGCAACAAACCAAGTCAGATTATTGCCTGCCCAGAATTGGACTCTGTTGGAGGAAGTGACCAGAGAGATAGTATGGAGTCCGCAAACCGGGTATGACCACTTAATTGGGAAATACTGATCGCTTCATTGAGAGATAGGGAGATCACCAACACGCGAGGGTTGAACAATGTGATCCTCAATACGAAGTACTAATAATTGTACAGTCGAGATATTTTAATCGAAATATTTTGATAATTGACCTGTCCAGAATGCCATCTGGTTTCCGGGGAGTCCGGTTCAAATACCTTACATATTGCAATCCGTGTTCTCCAGGATGAGATGCCCTAGACTTTGGGAATTACTGATATTTACTAGTAGTTAGTTATCATGGTTCAATTAATAAGTTATACCTTTTTAATAAAGATCTTGAAGTCATCATTGCCCTGCTCTCTAGGTTTTTTTTTTTTTTTTTTTTTATCTTCAAGCGCTAGTAATTCTTTCACCCCTAAATTGTAAACTAATGCCTCTTTATAACTTTATATAATCATTAAATCAGGGGGTTACACACACGATCGGGATCTGTCATCCTCATGCATACTGTAAGGGGTCTTGGTAATCTGGAGTTTCGGAGATACCATTTTGGGCAGTGGTAATTATATATTAAGTTAATAGGTATGTTAACTCACACTAGTTAACTATTGGGTATGCACCTATGCATCATTGATCAAATTTGTAGCGTGGAATGAATAAGAATATACTCCGTACGGCTCCGAGAATCGCCCGACCCAACCCAATTTATTCTACCAGATCGAACAAGATTGAATAAGTAAAATCTGGTTTAAATGGAGTTGAAAATTTCCAATCAAATGACCGTTTGCGGATTAGATGAAGCCCGAATGCGGACACTTTGGAGCTCACATCTCATCTCATTCGTCAGTTAAATTGAAACCCGACGGTTTGGGTCCAGGTTCCTGCAGAGAGAGAGTAACACTTGTAACCTCTTACTCTTTTGACTCTTTTGACTCTTTTGACTCGTTTGACTCTTTTGACCCTTTTGACTTTTGACTTTTGACTCTGACTCTTTTTAATTTCCACCTGGGAAACTTCTTTGGAACTACTCTGAAATTATTTCCCTGTGTCTCGGGTATGGTATCCCTAAATCTGATCCGTGGAAGCCCCAGCCCATCTCCCGCACTTTGACAGCGTCATCGTGCGGTTGACCCAAAAAGCCTGAGGCACTGAAAGATACTAACAGAATCTTTCAGATTCAACACTCCCAACATTCTGATATCGCCACTCCCCGAGCTCCATTCTACGGTTCGCGAATAAAACTCCGACCCCTGCGCTTCACTTTTCTGCCATATCGCATCGAAATCGGATTCCCGAAGGCGCTTTGGACTGATCGGCTTGAATCAGTCTCAATACATTCAAAGGGGAACGATCCTTCCCCCCCCCCGCTGTGCACACACTTGCTTAATTCAACCCCGAAAGTCGATGCTCCAAGTGTGACGTCTGAACATCCCGCGGGGTCGCATGTCGCATCTCCAACACCCCACCTCTTTCTTCGAACAGCCAGGCAGTTAAGATCTATCATAATAGATCTATAAAAATCAGGAATTCGTCGTTTATCTATCACGAGCCCATCCTCGGTTCCTGACAATCCGGTACCATGTACGCCGTCGAGGATAGACATCATCCCGTCCCACCTCCGCTCTCAATGGATCGCATCTCTGCTCCGTCCGTCCAGTACCCGTCGGGGCCCAACTCGCTACGGCAATCCGACCATTTGGCACCCGTGACGAACTACCAAGATGGTCGTTCCTGGTCATTACAGGTGGTACAACAACCCATCCGGGCTCGTATGTGTGGATTTGGTGACAAGGTGGGTGATTTTTCCGCGATTATTGTTTTGCCACCTCTTTTAACACAACTTCAGGACCGGAGACCCATCACTCCGCCACCATGCATTCGTCTGATTGTGCGCGATGCGCAAACGGATAAGGAAATCGATATCAAGTATGTTTAACCAACTGCTCTCTACCTTTCGGGTTTTTCTAACGATCTCTCCCTCAGTGAAATCGATACATCATTCTACGTGCTCACCGTCGACCTGTGGAATGCCGATGGTACCAACGAGGTCAACCTCGTCAAACATTCCGCCACCTCCCCCTCCATCTCTACCGCCATGTCCTCCTCATACCCTCCCCCGCCTCAAAGCGTCTCTCCGAGCTACCCGGGCTACAACCAGAGTCAGTACCCCGTGGGCTACCCACCGCAGATGAACAACTACTACGGTGGTCAGCAGGTGGCATACCAAAATCAATACGGTCAGCCAGTGACCTACCCACAATATTACTCTGGTGGTCAAATGCCACCGTCCATGTCGCCCGCCGCCCAACCGGTCTCTGGTGGACCGGGTGGCATGTTCACTCGTAATTTGATCGGAAGTCTCAGCGCCAGTGCTTTCCGACTGACAGACCCAGACAACAAAATTGGTGTGTGGTTTATTCTACAAGATTTGAGTGTACGGACAGAAGGCACTTTCCGGTAAGTCAATTGAATAATGGGAATCACTCGAAATAAACCAATTGCTAACGAAAATCCAGTTTAAAAATGAGCTTCGTTGATGTGGGCACGTCATCTGCCGAAACCTCCAACGGCGCCCCGGTCATCAATCACGGAACTGCACCCGTTCTAGCATCGGTCTTCTCCGAACCCTTCCAGGTCTTCTCTGCCAAGAAGTTCCCTGGTGTTATTGAGAGCACCCAACTCAGCAAGTGCTTTGCGCTACAGGGTATCAAGATTCCCATTCGCAAAGACGGAGTAAAGGGACCCCGCCGAGGTGGAGATGGAGATGACGATGACGAAGGCGACTACTAAAAGAGCAATTTTTTTGATCCATAGTGCAATACGCGATATGCGGGGGCACTTGGCTCAGTGTGTTGTCTGACCTTTCCTTATATTTGCTTTTTCCCCCCTTGCTATGAATCAAGACATTGGGGAGCAAATGGCGGCGCGTGGCTTACGGTGTTCTGGGCAAGTCTTGGCTTGCAGGTTTCAATATTGCTACACGGACCGGTGCTGGGGGGGTTTCAATCTGGTTTTTCTTTCATGACTTCCTTCCGAATATGTTTTTCCCTTATTATTATTATTGTTGTTTTTTTTTGTCGGCCTCTGGCCGTGTCTATTCATATCCTCCGCGGTCGATTGCCCGCACGTATATACACTTTTCTTTTCGGCGAATCGAGGTCCGGTTCGAATTGCTGAGTGCTGAGTGCTGAGATTGTTTGTCTGGCATAGAAAAAGTCGTTTGATAACCAAATCCACTGGAATTGTTCAGTTATATTTCCGATATTGTACTCTAAAGATGTATACTCTAGCCTGTGATATCCACTAGCCTGTGATATCCACAGGTGTCGAGTAGATCCCATAGATCGTAGCTTCAGATGGCGTTGTGTGAGAGCCTGGTGTAGATAAAGCTAGTTGTAGTTCAAATAGACCGAAGTCTCATGATGATCTACATGTTCATGATACCACACTATTTCTACTTCTCAATACGTGATATCAACAATATCTAATAGCCAGCCAGTATAAGCCACCTAGATACCTCTCACATGACAGCTCATCCCTTCAACCAAATGTCCACCAAAGATAGCATCTCATCCCCGACCCACCACCATCACCACCCAACCCAGCTCACAGAAGACGTCACACCGGACCTGACAGAAACCCGACAACACCGGACTGTCCAACACGAACCTCCCAACGGATACACCGACATGAACCTCAACGAACTCCCCCCCGTCGGACAATGTACAACACCCGTGGAACGGAATGACCTCGCCGACTGATTCCAATCACCCAACCGCGTCAACCAGGAAATCTCTTGGATAATCACCCAACTAGCTCTGCCCATCCTCGCCACGTCCTGACACGGGGCAACGCGGTCTTCCAAGCGGAAACTTCCACGCCGGTGTGGGATGGTTGTCTTCCCTCTGTACCACCGAGTTCGTATATGCAAGGCACAAGCAGACGAAGTTGCGGGTATGCGGGCTGCAGCGTCGCTGCGGGAGATTATTAATAGATCACAGCCAGTCACCCCGGTGTAGTCGCAAGACCCGACTGCATCGGGGTTTTCGGCATTGTTAGATTAGCCGGCACCGGTTGTAGTGGGATGTAGGGTCCGGTGAGACATTGCATATTACATGTTCGCCGGTTTAGGTAGGGCGTCAGTGGCGTTGGACGGTGTGCGGCTATCTCCTCGGTAACACAGTTCCCAGTGATTGTTTATTGGTAATGGATGGGTTCGTGTATCGGGCCGTTGGTGGGTCGAGGGTATTTTCTGGGGAAAGTAGGAGGCGAGGTTTTTGTTTGGGTAGTGGTAGCGAGGTAGAAGGTTCCGACCTACACCGCATGTTAGAGGGTTTGGGTAAACGAATAACGTATAACTTATGATGTAGATGTCTTTATGAAATAAAGTGGATATTTGCGGGTTAAGCCGACTGTTACCAAGATCTCCTGAGGCATTGGAGTAGCGAAGTGGTTGATGTTCCAATTATCAACTGAGACAAGGGTGAAGATCTTCACCCAAATCCCCCAAATCCCCCGATTTTCCCCCAGTTTGAGAGATATTCAATCCACTATGTTATGCATGTATCAGCCACTTGAATTGGCGAGGGCTTTTCCCTCATCTTGGCAGACGAACAGTTCTCCATGTCTCACATATCTTCGTCTAAGCGACGAAAAATAGTATCCTCGGTAGTAACCCAACCTCACACCGTTGCATAGACCATACAGAAAAGATAATTATATTCGGGATATGGAGTATAGTGTACCTCAACGATGTCTCAAATTCACCCAATCCATCCAATGACTCTCGCCACCTCAGCCACCCTAGCGGCCAAATCCGGTAGTCCATGACGGAGGGTTTGTTCGACGTTGGTTCCCTGGTTCGGTTTCTCGGAACATGTGCAGCTGCTATTTATATTACATTCCTGACTCTATATAAAGAGGTCCAACAACCGCCCCTCGTTACTATTCCAAAGTATATCTACTCAACTACACAAAACAACAGTCTTCAAACCTCAATATCCGTCCACAATGAAGTTCACAATCACCTCCCTAGCCCTTCCCCTCCTAGCAGCCGCGGCACCAATCACCGAACCAGCCGCCAACCCAGCCTTCAGCGTGATGGCCATCCGCTCTGCCTCCCCCATCCACTACCTACAGCTAAACGCCGCGGGTCAGAAATTCTACCTCGGCGGAAATACCGCCTCCTACTGCCCAGCCCAGGTGCACCAATGCCCACCAGGAAACCAAACAGTGTTCGCTCCCGGCGGCAGCTCTCTGGTAAGTCATGAGTCTCACAATCCCCAAAACTCACTTCCTACAGAGGACAATCCCCGCTAACGATAGAACAGGATACCATGGTCCCCGGCGGCCAACAGGTCTACATCGACCCCAATGGAGCCCTCAGCTTCACCCAGGCCCACTCCGCAAATATCCCGCAGGGCTCCTCGCTTGGCCCGTTCCACTACGCTGCTGATGAACCTTGGGCTCACTACTCATTCGCTGGTTGGGGCGCTACTGGTTTCATGGCTTGTCCCGCTGATGATAACCGCTGGCAGGTGTTTGCTGCCATTCAAAATGCTACCGTACCCCATGGTAATGTTGACGAGTGTCTTGGGTTCTCGGCTGTTGCTTTGACTTATACCGGGGATATTCCTGCTTGGCAGTATATCTAGATTAATGACGTGGTTGTTTTACTGATTGCTCTTTGGTCGACGTCGTTTTAGCTTGTTTTTGATTTTTTTTATTAAAAATATATCATAATAACACTCCTTCTATATCTGGATTCAGATTTGATTTAATAAACTGACAAAATTGGGTCCATGTCATATCTTCCAAGTTGTAGGGTTAAATGGTATAAACATTTGCATTGTACCTTGCCACCTGCAGTAACGGGCCGAGAAGCTTCAGGAACACCCATATGGTTTGAAAGTCTACAGCCAGACCCGAACTTAGGTTCAAGTCAAGATGTCGTTGGTGGTTGCAGGGTTGGGGAAGAAGGGTAACACTTGTCTGACTTGTCTGACTTTAAATTATCTAGGATAGTACAAAAATATATAACAGGGAGAGGGGTGTATTCCGTGGGATCCATCAAATGGCCAAGGAGCCCAAATGCTCAGGTCATGACTTTATCAAAGGACTCGCACGAGAACAGGTGTTTGATCTGGGTGCACATTGAGCATAGGTATGGGACCTAGGTAAGACTCTAAGCAACTGGATGATGCTGAGGTCTCTCCGTAGGTTTATATGCACCGGACCCTTTGCACCTCTCGTGGGGGCTACGGTGAGATGGTTGCAAGAGGGTTGGGGAGAGGAAGAAGAGAAGAGGAATGGGGGAAGTGAGTGCCTTTTTATACTCCCAGGAACATGCGTACCTTCCCAAAATGGACACTTGCTCTTGCCCTACACAGGACCCTGGGACTGTCCTCAACAATCAATCCACACACTTAAACCACCATCTAACTTCCATGCATCTACATTTGCAAGATCTAGTCCGAAACGGAAACACCTCTCGGTGTTCTTATTATTCGCTTGTTTATCCTGGCCACTAACCGTGGCTGCAAGGCAGCCTTGCGGGCCTCTGCCACTGAGTAAATAAGCCGATAGACTTATGATGTCAAATCCACGGAGGGTCGACCTTGGGGATTGAGGCACTCATGCCACCCTCAAACTGAGGGTACACACAATGTGCTACTGCCAACATCCGCGCGTTGGATATTGTGCTCGTCTTGGATGCATGCAACATCAGACGGCAGAGATCTATACCAGACTAGCTGTCTGTCAAGAGCATGTTTTGGGCAAGTTGATGTCAAGTGCGACTGGATCTAGTTCCGCCAGATCTTAATCGCCTTGTCTTTTCCTCCACTGGCGATCTTCTGCCCATCGGGACTCCAGTCAACGGCAAACACCTCGTCCTTGTGTCCCGGAAGATCCATCTTGAGTTTGCCCGTACGTAGGTCCCAGATCTTGAGAGTAGTATCCTTAGACGAGGACACCAACATGCGAGAATCTGCCGAGAAACAGCACTGGTAGACAGCACCCACGTGGCCACGGAAGGTGGTGATGAACTTTCCATCACGGCCATTCCACAGCTTGACGTGGTTGTCGAATCCGGCTGAGGCGATATAGGCCATGTCCGGCGAGAACGTGACATGGTTCACCTCCTTTTGGTGACCCAGCATCCGTGCGACGGGCTTGCTCGAAGTGGACGGCTCCCACAGATACATTGTGAAATCATCACTAGCCGATACCAACCGCTCGACAATAGTGTTGTTCACCGTCGCCGCCTCCTCGAACTTCTTGCGCGCAGCGGCGACCTTCTCAGCCTCGGTCACAGGGACCTTGCCAGTGTGGTCGTGGTATGAAGTGCGAAGAGCAAAATCTGTCGATAACGCGAGGTGATTAACACGGTGGGCATGCGCCGCCAGGGTCTGAAGAAGGGTGCCGTCTTTCGGGTTCCAGATCTTAATGGTCTTGTCGTGGGATGCAGTATAGATCTTGCCGGTACCACCCCATCGCACACAAGTAACCGAAGACTTGTGGCCGGTGAGCACATGGTCAGTTACTCTCGAGACAACGTCCCACACGCGCACCGTCGAGTCCTTGGAGGCAGATGCCAGGCGTGGCCGCCCGGACTCCTGCACGTGGTATGGCTCCCAAGCCAGATTCGTGATCCACTTTGCGTGGCCCTTGAGTCCAGCACCTAGCGCCGTTCCCTGCTTTGCATCCCAGAACCTCACAGTGTTGTCCATGCTGCCGGTCGCAATCATGGCGCCGTTCGGCGAGTATGCGACTGCCAGCACCCAGCTGGTGTGGCCCTTGAGCGTATGTTTCGGGGTTCCAGTATCACAGTCCCAAACACGGGCAGTTGAGTCTCCGCTTCCGGACACCATGGTGGAGGATGAGACCGGGGAGAAGGATGTTGCTAGGATTGCTTCGCCGTGGCCCGCGATGGAGGCCGCGCATCGTGAAACGGCTTTCACTCGGAAAACCGCCTGTGGTGTGTAGAAGAGCGATACCGTATCTTCAGTGGTCTTGATCCCAGGCTGTAGTAGTGAGTGATAAACGTCGCGGAGAATGTCAATCGTTTGTTCCTCTTTTTCAGAATGGTAGGCGAATCGGTATGGTACTCGTCCATCATCCTCCTAGAAAGAAATCGCCGTCAAAACAACATTCAGTTGTCAAATAGTCACAAGGTTCGAATCTTACATTTCCTTGTAATGTGTTTAGCAAAGTCTCAAGGTTCTTCACGTTGGCATCGGCAACTGGGACGGAGACCGCAGGCCCGGTGGGCTGCCCGGTTGCTTGGTCGAAGAATTGAACTCGAACACTACCCAAATCGGACGGAATACTCTCAATTTCCTGCTGCTCACGGGCCTTATCAGCCTGAACGAGCTTTTGGCGCTTGCTGGGGGGAGGATAGAGGGTCGCCATAGTTATTGATTTTGGGGTCGATTGGGGGAAGAAGAGAAATTTTGACAAGCAAAAATATCTCGACGCTTATCTTATCGGCCCTATCAATTTCCCCATCTACAAACACCATCTCGGCCATGAGAGTTGGGCTTCACAATGTCGATTTATTCATTGAATTCATTGAATTCCGTGGATTCTTTTTCTCCTTCGGTTTCTAGAGTTACAAGTAGACATCCAACAGCAAGACCAACCACAACGGCCACCAGTGTCGCAGCACAGGACATCATCTGCGCCGTCAGTGAATCGCGGGGCGTCTCATCCACCGTTGGCCTCACATTTGTCAATCTTGCAACAGCTGAAGCAGTGCTATGTCAGATATGTGACAGCCAGACTTATGTCAAGACAATCATCAAAATTGGTGTCTTTGAACCCAGCGAGATTTTGTTTATGAACACTGCCAAAGAGTCGAAGCTCCGTTATATCATCCAAGAGAATCTGCCAGATCCTATATTCACGTTCCTAGACCGCAGGTGGTGGTCTGAAAAGACAGGTCATGAGTATGCGGGCCGGCTGGCCTTTCCAGAGGAAGTAGACTCGCTCAAGGTGACTCTGGGCGGGAACTATTTCGCAGCGTGTTGCTTTGCCGCAGTATGAACACCATTCATAATTTCCCAAAGGGACTACTCACACAAGAACTAGGTCCTCAAGTATATTGAAGTCGAACTCCAGCGATCTTTTACCGCGCACTCTCTTCGGATACGCTTCGAACCGTCCCAGGGGTCCATGACAATTGACTTGGCGACTATTGTGTCCCTCGAACTCATCCAGAACCTGCAAAATGCGAAGTCTAAAGAAAGTTTGTTTGGACTATTGAATGAGACACTGACGCCTATGGGAACCAGACTACTCCGAGCTAGCATCTTACAGCCTTCAACAGAACGAGTCAAGTTGACAGCCAGATACAATGCTGTGGAAGATCTGGCCACCAAAGAGGATACGTTTGTGTCTGTGAGGCAGGCGCTTAAGGGCTTCATTGATGCAGATAAAGTGTTGACCGCGGTAGAGTCCCCGAGGCCCGCTAGAATTGAAGACTCGTGCTAACAGATTATCGAGATCATCTTGGTTCCCACCAAGCGGACGATCCAATATGTCGAGCAGTCCGTCAACAATGTTATCATGCTCAAGACTTATGTGTCTGCGATCAAAAACATCTTCCAAGCGCTTGGAGCAGCACAAAGTGATTTGCTGCTTACCATACGCGAAGTAGACCCTACATCCCTTTGGTGTTTTACTCAATCAAACTAATGCTCTTTAGTTGTGCGCTCCCGAGGGGCATCGTTCAATTGAGGACCTGATTGACACAACTTTGAATGAGAATGTAGCCTACCAGTCAAAGCCACTTGATCTGAGGAACCAACGCATTTACTGTGTTAAGGTCCGAGCCCGTATACTTCTACACTAGATACAGATCACTCACATATATCAGGCCGGCGTCAACAGTCTTCTGGATGTTGCAAGACAGACCTATAAGGAGGCGAATGTAGATGCCACGGAGCTGATTGAAAAGTTATCAGGCATGTTTAAAGTTGTGAGACTTCATGAATGACGCTGACCTATCTCAGAGAGTTGCGATATGGTCTTGGACTTGAAGTATGACACTGCCCGGCAATACTACATCTGTATCCCTGCTACAGAACCAGGCCCACTTCCGGATGTTTTTATCAATGTGTACCGCAAGCGAAAGCGCATCGAGTGCCAGACATTGGATTTGGTTAAACTCAATCAAAAGATCGCCGATGCCCACAGTGAGGTGATCAACATGAGCGACCAAACAATCCAGGACCTACTCCGAGACGTGTGCACAGAAGTATCCGGGCTTTTTCGAGTCAGTGAAGCAATTGCAATGCTAGACATGCTCGCGGCATTCGCTCAGCTAGCAACGAACCATGAGTACATAAGACCAGAGCTGACCGACACTCTCGCCATCAAGGCGGGACGTCACCCGATTCGAGAACAGATTCATAGTAACAAGTTCATCCCGAACGACGCATATGCAACACCGCAAACAAGATTTCAGATCATCACAGGTTGCAACATGAGCGGCAAGTCGACCTACATCCGGTCACTGGCCCTGGTTACAGTCATGGCGCAGATAGGCTGCTTTGTCCCAGCTCAATACGCCTCCTTCCCAATCTCTCACCAGCTCTTCGCCCGTGTCACCACGTCAGATGATCTAGGCGCCAACGTCTCGACCTTTGCAGCAGAGATGCGGGAGATGGCATTCATCCTTCGTAATATCCAGCCACGCAGCATGGTCATCATCGACGAGCTAGGCCGCGGCACTAGTACAACCGATGGTCTCGCTATTGCCGTCGCGCTAGCAGAAGCACTTATCTCTAGTAATGCCCTGGTCTGGTTTGTCACGCACTTCCACGACCTGGCGCAGATTCTCGCCGAGCGCAGCGGTGTGATCAACCTCCACTTGGCAGCAGAGATTGCCCCGGATGCATCCAAGATGACCATGCAGTACCGCATTGCAGAGGGTCCTGTTCCAGATCGTCGATACGGGCTTGTCCTCGCCAAGCTCGCTGACCTCCCACCTGCCGTCTTGAATAAGGCGCGCTCTGTCTCAGAGGCGATGGACCAGCTGGCTAAACGTAGAAACAGTCCGTCGCGTGCTGTTGCTCTTGCCCAGAAGCGGAAGTTGCTTTTGTCTCTGCGTGAACAGTTATTCCTCGCCCGTGATGGCACGATGGATAACGCCAGTCTTCGAGCATTGTTGATTAAACTGCAGGATGACTTTGTGCTGCGCATGGCTGCCATCAACAGAGAAATGGAGTTATACCCCGATGATGAGAGTGAGACAGAGGCTCCTACTGAACCTGCTTCCAACTTGTCGGTTCATACACCTGAAACCCAAGTGTT